CGCGGTCCCGGGCCGGTCCCGGGCCTGGACCGGCCCACTTGTCAGCCTTAATCTCAGGGGTAGTTTTGAGTCGAAGAACAAAAATTGAGGATATTTTTGGACTAGGTAACAAAGAATATTTTTGAGCCATTTCCGATAAAAATATTGTCACATAAATAAAATTGTTTATTATAGAGTAACTAGATAAACGTTTTTCCCGTGATGAGTAGGATTCTAATTTTGACCCCTTAGCTGAGAGTAAGGCTGATACAGAGGAACCTAAAGGGCAAAATCATTGTTTATGATCGAACTTGAGAGTACAGATGTGTGCTTTAACATAAGATCGGTTCTATACGTATCTGAAAGAAACACCATTTTCTCTATAGACTTGGAAAGGACACAAACTGCACACTTGTTGGACCTGCAATGGACACGGCTAAGTAATCTCTGCACCATTTTGATAATTTGTACTTCTTTAAATACTGCTGTATTCGTTCTTGGTTTCACATCAAGACCACCGTAGACGAGACATCTCTACATTTGCTGAAAATTCATTTGTATATGTAGATTTTTTAAGAAAATTAAGGAGTACTATCTGCAAGCATGTTGAAGTGATGCAAAATACTAGTTGATGTGACAGATCATTACATTTCATCAAAATATCAACAGTACTTCTTAATTTTACTTGTCATCCTAAGACTGATTTCGATTTACATTCTTCCTATAGAGGTGGCATAACCTAAGAATTCTATTCACAATCTTAGGGGAAGTACATCTTTTTTACTTCCTTTCGACCCTGCAAAAATGAGAAATGAGGTATCTGGAAAGAAGATCAGTTGGGACCCCAACAGCTCAATTACATAACTTTTCTCAAAGATTCTTCAGATTGCTTTGCCTTCTCACTCCTTGCAATCAGTAAGGAGGAAGAAGTAGAAAGCTTCTTAGCTTGAGAGTAAGATCTCATGTTATTCTTGGCGTGCTGGGCTAAGGACCTCAAAGGGTAATTATTCCATCTACAGAAACCTTGATCTTTTAAGGCTTCCACTGCTCCAACACTGGCTGCTACTATCCACGCTCTCCTGCTTGAACTCATGGTCTCTTCTGTAACAACTTTCTTTAAATATCTTTTTAGGTTTTGACAATGAATCCTGCGATTGTTTTTCTGTTCCTTTGAATGCTTGCTTGAGTAAATTTGTTGGCTTGGAAGATGATGCTTAGAGTTCCGGGCTTAGGCTAAATTTATAGATACTGAAGAAAAAAGACGTGGGAGTAGCTAAAGCCTAAAGAGTAAAGAGTGATAATCCGGTGGCTCTTTTAGCTAATTAACTGCGTACGCTGTATATTGCAGCTACTGGTTTTCTAGTTACTTTGTCCTTGAATGAAGAAAAAGGGAATGTATAATTTAGTTACTGGATTATACATTATTTTTCAGAAGAAAACATGTAGGACCACAGCAGCTGGTTTTCTATTGGACCTTTCGAAAGTAGCCCTCAGTAAGTTTAGGAGCTCCGAACCTGGATGGTTCAAGAGATTCGTTTTATCATTTACTAAAATGTCAATATTTTAATTGGAAACATCTTAGTTAAAGTTTACCTAACTGTGATTTACTTTTTCAATTCAACAATTGTTAGGAAACAGTCGTATTCATTAGTAGTACTAAAGTAATAAAACATTAAACAAATCTGTTGCAGTACATTATTGGAAAAATCGTGTTGCTACTTTCCACAAATAAAAGAATTTTTAGTCATATGAAATAAAAAATGATACCACATGACAATTCCATATTTACAAAATTCCATAGGCATATATTCTTGGAGAAAATATGGTTAAATAAATCTGCGGACCAAAACCACTGGTTTCTTTATAATAAAAGTTTTTAAAGAAAACTCACACGTGTTGAAGCCCATGCCTTTATAAGCCAGCAAAACCATGTGCATTTCCACTTAGTTCTAGCAACCAAAACCTAAACCAAGTGTAACAACTTACAAGCGCATACAAATTAAGTAGGATTTCAAATCTAGCCTTGCGTTGTTTTAGATAAGTAGTTAGTTCCCTCCCCTTAAAGAATTTCCCAGGAAAAGGAAATTAGACTAGTTCCAAAAACGCACTACATGAAAAACATGATTGTAGCAGGAATCAAGCCTTCTCCGGCGAGTTCCTCATCGGAAGCCGGCAACGGAAACCGGTTGATATGGTTTTCCGGTAGCGGAGATTCAGGGAAGAAAGCATTCATGGATGATCAGAAGCGCAGAGTTAGGAAAGCTGAAAAGACTGAAAAAATTATGCATCTTATCTTCTGGGGACCCAAATAGTATCTCTTATCTGACTATTTGGCCTAATATTATATACTACTACTTATGTTTTGCTGTAAATATTTTCCTTTTGTAAGTTTTAAGGTTTATGTGTCTCTATGATGAGTCTTAGGTTGTGGAAGTTTTAAGCTAAATCAGTTAAATATCTTGGAGTCTGTACTATGTATATAGAAATACAAGTTTCTCTGAAGTAAATATGTTGTATAGCAAATTGACAATGGATGTCCCAATAAATTAAAGTTTGCCCATGGCAGTTACGTTCCTTTGATTAACTTACAGCATTCTCATATATATATCCGTCAACTTAATTTCTTTATATACTCTTTGATATGCAAGTACTATGATGCCATTTCTACAAAAAGGACTCTTTTCCGTTCGACTCAAATCTAAGAATGCATTGGCATTGATGTGGAATCACCATTCTTGTAGATAAATTTAGAGACCACCAGAATTAAAATTTTGAGATACCATCAAATTTATGGGAGATTTCTCTTGTCTACAAAAAGCTGTGGCTTAGAGCCGGCCAAGGTTGTAGGAGGCAAAAAAGTATTTTTTTTTTTTAAAAAGTACGTTTGAAAAAATTTAAAGTGTGTCATCAAAATAAAAAAGTATTTTTTTAGCAAGAATCTACAAATTCTAGCATCTTCCCAAAAGGAAGTAGAAAATTAATTTATTCAAGATAAAAATAATCTTACAATAAATTTATATTTTTTAAATTATCCCTCATTAAGTTAATATTTTTCTTTTTCTTTTTCTTTTTCTTTTTTAAATTTCTACTATACATTTCTTCTCTTTTTATCCTATTCCTAAGAGTAGATTTTAAATTTATATTGAATGATGTATTTTGACATATTTAAATTATCATATAAACAATAAATAATAGTAAACACTCAATGTTATTGATTTGGAATAATTTTATTTTATATTGATTGAAATTTTTAATTTATATTTTTACTATTCTTTTATAATAAATATTTAAATTTATTTTTCTTTTTTTAAATAATATTAATCGCAAATTGAATCTTTACTTTCATTTTTTATAATTTGATACTTAAAAGTGCATTTTTAAAAGATTGGTCAAACACAATGAGCTTGCAAAAAATATTATTTAAAGGAATTAGCCAAACAGAAACTGTTATTTTACAAAAGTACTTTTGCAAAAAGCACTTTTGAATAAAAACACTTTTCAGAATAAGCAATTTTTGATAGCTTGACCAAACGGCTGGCTCTTATTTTCAATAGTGATGAGGTCTTTAAATACCCCATTACGGTGTGGGTGGCTGACAACCCCAGAATATTATTTGGCGAGAAAGAAATCTTTATCGAATAAATATTATTGACTTGAGAGGGAGTTTATTTAAGAAACAAATGAAGACTTTCTAAAAAATTTGTATGGATGATCATTTGAGAAATTTGAACGTTTAGTGAGTTCCATGTCATCTTTCTGGCACTGGAAATTTTCGGCTGACATGACTTTCTGAGAATGTTAAGTAGAATTATTTTATTGTTACAAAATATACAAAAGTAATTTTGTTGCATTATTTTCATAATTTGATTGATCATTTAAATAATCAACTCGCAATAATAAATAACTGCTTACAGTAATGCTTGATTCATTAATATCTTGAAAGAGAATAAATAACATGTGGAGCTTTGCTAAGCATAAAATTTCTTTACAATTTAATGTATAAAGCTTTCTTTAGGAGAACAAGTAACAAATCCTACACTAGGTTTTAGTGATTTAGATGGCTTGAGTGTTTGTGGAAGAGGAAAATCTAGAAAGAAAAAAGACAAATAACAAGCCTTTAACAATTATAACAATTTCATGTTTGATCTTTTAACTTAGTGTTAGGGTAAACAAAATTGGAGCCAAATATGTCTCCTTAAGCCATGAATATTCACTTGAAATAGTTTACAAGTTTCTAAGCAAATTAACAAATATATAGTGTATGATTGACTCATCTAAAAGTTTAAGCTAAAAGGAACACGTTTATATATACATATAAGGTTTGTGACACCTCGCTCATGTGCGAGCCTGACTCTTTCTCTTTGGTCATCACCTCATGAGCATGCAAACTTGAATATTTTCTCTTCTGTTAAGCACATAAAAATTCTTCTTATAATAAGTGATAGTGTTTCTTTAAACTGTGATTTTGTTTTCTCTAATATCGTGTTTAACTATATGGCCATTTCATCTGAAATGTTAAATATTCAAATTAAGAAAGGGCACACACTTATTTCTTTTTATTAAGTCTTCAGTAGAACACCTCTAATATATGAATTAATATTCGTAAACAACCTTAGAAGCAGTTTATTCTTTTTTCTATAATGTATAGCTCCATTTAGTAATTATGTTACATAGACTTCCACACCTTAATTGTATGGAACTTAAATGTTAAGTTAGGGATAATATGCATGAACTAGGAATAAATGGGCCCCTTGTTGCTCGAGTGACTATAATAAACGCATTCCTAGTTTACCTTAAAGCATATCTTGTCACCTCATGATTGCATTTTTCCACATTTTCTTTGACAAAATTTTAGAAAAGATGTGATCCTAGCATATATTCTTATGGAAATCTTTATATAATAAATAGTATGCTTTAGTTTTAGATAATCTTATATTCTCGTGGTTTGAAAATATAGCCCCTTATGGGCCATGGACTGAAAATTTGTAGTATGATATATTCACAGTTGCATCAGCAGTGTGACGAAAGTTTTGATTCTTAGGTCGATCTACAGTTGGAAGCTTAATTTATGCAATTGATTAAAGACTACTCTATTTTGAGTCAGTTTGCATAAAAACAGTCCTCATACTTGAGATATAAAGCATAATGATATATGTCTCGAATCTGGAGGGATTGCGTCTTCACAGCTTTTTAATGTTTTCATAAGACTCCGTAGGGGAATGCTAAGAAATACTTAGAAAATCAAGATTTACCAACAAAACTTAATATGGACCCGAAGCTCAAATACATTATAGTTCGTAGTGACTAACTGTTATCATTGGCATTATTTCCATTAGACCTTGCTGTAAACTATTTTCCCTGGCTTGACGATGAATGAGTGGTGCAGACTGAGTGACATTGGCTTTCTCTTTTGACGTTGGGTTCTCATAAGTCATAACTCTCGATTTTGTCTTTGATTTCTGCTGCTTCTTGTGCATTTGTTTGCGGTACAGCTTTGCTTGTGTTTCTTACATTATTAATCTCCATACCATAATGTACCCAATCATTCTCTAAGATCTACGGAGAGGAGATTCAGAGAGATGTTTGGGACAAAAGCAATTGAGCATGTGCATTACCACAATTAATCTCATGGTCATTGTTGCACGTCTGATTGATTACCACTTAAATTTCTGTATCACTGTTAAAATAAGGACAAGAACGACATGTTTTCCTGTTTCATATCACTTATTTGGATTACAAAGTTACCCCTATCTCTATTGGCGGAAAATACCATTATAATTTTGTTTACCCGAAAAATGGATAGAGTTAAATTTATACGCAGTTCCGAGGATATGTGGTGTAACTTAACACAAAATGTAATGATAAATAGAAATGTAAATATAGATTGCAGAGAATGCGAAATAGATAAGGTTATCAGGAACAATGAATCTTAGGATTCAACAAATAGAATCAATCTAAGAAATCTGAAAGAACAATTCTTTAGTGTAGAAGAATATAGCGCTTTTTTTACAATGTAAGCCTGAGAAAAACTTCTCTTACAGAAATGGTAACCAAGCCCTTTTATAGTGGAGGGATTTGGCTCTAAGCATAATAAAATAAACATTCATTGGGAGACCCATGATAAGTCAGTTTTTCCACAATTTCTGCCAAGATTCTCTCTAGTGGAATTGCAACGGCTTTTGTCTGCGAGCTCGATCTTGCTTAGAACCCTCGATTTTGGTTTGAGCTTGATTTCGACTCGAGCTCGTGATTTTGGTTCGAGCCCGATCCTGGCTCGAGCCCTCGAATTGATTCGATGTCAATGTTGGTTGGTCTCTAGATTATCAGCATGATAGATCTACTTTGCATCATGGTTCGATTTCGATTCGAGCTTGATACTGATATCGAACTCGACACGGATCGGCCTCCCCGGGTTCGAGGTTAATTTGTTCCACCTTCGGGATCTTACTTCGATAGATCATCATTCGAACTTGATCGGACGTGCTAAGGCCGAAATCTATTTCGACCGTATATAGATAGTCCCCTCGTTTCTCAGAAAGAATGTGGCGAGAAACGACTTGATTTTTTAACGGCTCGATCGGATTATAACCTGACGTTTCCATCGGGTTCGACCATGATGCATCTGGCAGCTTTCCCATCGGTTTAATCTTTCAAGGCATTTAATGCATGTCAGGCGGTGGTCGGCCACCGCTGATACTGAACCGCCATCGCTTGAACCTATAAATAACCCATTCTTTTATCTTTTACCACTTTTACATCTTCTATCTTCCAAATTTTCCAAGTTCTTCTTCGTACTCTCTAACTTACCAGTAAATCTGTGATTTCTTTCTGCAAAAGCCCCTCTTCAATTCTACCAAATCTTTGTCACTTTCTTCTATTCCTCACCTTTGAATTCGAAAATGGCGAAAACATCACAAACCATTCCTCAGAAAGAGAAGGCTTCATCTTTATAGTGTGCCGCCGATGAGACATCGGCAGAACCACGGCCTGGGGAGTGTGTTCCCGGGGCGTGTGTTCTTACTTCAGATTTTAAGGTCGATAAAGGTTCATTGGTCCCTGGCTGGTGTGAGCCGGTATCGAGGTACATGTGTTCGATAACCGAGAAGCACCTCAAACAGCTAAAAAAGGATTGCAATTGGGGTGAAAAAGTAATAATAATTCCTACCCCTGACGAAGATATCACTTCTTACGTGAAAGGGTTTTTGAATATGTATACTTACCCTTTCACTTTAGGTCCCCTTGATTCCGTTATTATTAACTTCTGTCATCAATACCAGGTAACCCTAGGCCAGGTCCATCCTTCTTTGTGGCGGATCATTATCCTGATCGGATATTTTGTGAGCAAAATCGAGGGGATGCCATTCACCCTCGACCATCTTATCCGATTGTATAGTCCTTGACTTTTTCGAGGAGGGTTAATAAAACTTTAGCATTGGGCTACCAAGGCTCTATTCTCGAGTATTGACGAGGACAGGGACCGAGGTTGGATGGGAAGGTTCGTTCGAGTAAGGACTTCGGACCTGATTCCGACTGAAAAGATGCCCTTTCCCGAGGACTGGAATATGAAACGTAAGTGTG